ACGGAAAGTGGAATTTGTCCTCAAGGACGAGAATTCGGGTTCTCAAACTGTCATTTCTAAAAATAGGACTAAAAAATTCGCGACACCTCATGCAGACAATTTTGAATGAAAATTTTCAAAAATCCCTTGCTGGGTGGCATCTTTTCAAGCATTCCTATAACACAGGATTTAGCATGGAAGATTCCTGAAAACAATAAAAAATGTACCTCATGGATTTTTCTTGACTTTAGTGCCTTTTCAACCTGCATGGGAGAATTTTAGTGACTTTGGGTCAAACTGAAATGTGCCACCCCCCAAAAATATTCTGACTAATGGGAAGGATGAACCTTCTGCCATCCAAGGGTTAATGTGCCAATAAATGCCTGGTCTCCAATGAGATGCCTGTCTCTAATACACACTGGCTCTCAAAGGGCTGGCTCAAGTGAATATATTAGCTGGCCTCTAATAGTGGCTGGGTCAAAGAATAGAGGTGAAAAACTTCCAAGATTTTTATTTATTTTATGATCTTGATAATTATTTCCATAATCTATTGTCTTGAACACTCAAAAGCGCCACAAATGCCATTAGACCTTTAGTGATGGATTCCTGTTTCATTTCCAAAAATCAGTGTGAAATCCTAGTTTTTTTTCTTATTTCCCCCAATTGTGATTCCCCTGTTTTTCTTTTCATCTTGTTCCTTAGTTGCATAACTTTTGAAAAGAATAAAGAATACTGCCAGTCTCTAATATAGATGCCAGTCTCTATTAAAGGGCAGGATGAGGAAAAGTCAAAAATTTTGATTGAATGCCAAGGCATTGGAGCACGTGTTTAACAAACTTATTTGAGCAATGTTAATATTTTCCCCAGGTAGAAATTTCCTGACCAAAGGCAGACACAGTCTTGAATTTCTGATCCCAAATGTTACTGACTGGTTCTTGAAGCATTCCTTTTATTTTTTGTCTGATGGTGATGATAATTATGCTTATTAATGCAACCTTGATCCCTTTCTTCAGTTAATTTTTACCCTTTCTCAATTAAACACCTCATCATCATGCTTTCATAAATACTTAATGCAAGCATGGTGAGCCATTTTTTCAATAGCTCAGCAGCAGTTGAGATTATTTTTGGGTCTGGTGATAATGCTTATTATTATTATTATTATTACACCCCAGTCAAAAACTCAGAAAATTTCTTCCCTTTATAGTTAATATATATTTCCTGATGTTGGCATTAGTTAGCAGATGATCCAGATTTTCCAACTGGCACAAAATACTTACAGTGAAATAATAATACTATACAAAGAAAACTAATTTGAGGAAATAATGCCAATATGATATTTGGCCATCAACGAACCGGACTAGGGCCAGCTTTGGTCCGGCTCTGACTGGCCCTGAGGAACTCCTGCTGGGAAGAAAGTTGTTGCGACTTTTGTTGCGAGCGACGTGGGGAAGCTGGAGCTTGCTGGAAACTGAATTTGTTGGGCTCTTCTTCTTCTGCTTCTTCTGCAGGGTCCTCAAAGTATTCCGCAGGTCGTCGGCGTTGTTGATTCGTTCCTGATGATGGTCGTTTGTGTTGAGCGTTGTGCTTTCGCTGCTGCACCTGGGGGCTCACGTTGCCATCCAGCTCCATGTTGGCGCCAGCGTGGTAACCCTTTTTTTTTTTTTTTTTTTTTTTTTTTTTTTTTTTTTTTTNTTTTTTTTTTTTTTTTTTTTTTTTTTTTTTTTTTTTTTTTTTTGGACAGACGGAATCATGTATTCACACTTGTGATTCATAGTACTGTGATTGTGATTCATAGTATATACACATCCAGGGTGAAATAAGAAATGAAAATGTGTAAAAATTCTCAACTGTACACCATATGAAGTTATTTTGTTCATTATATCCCAAGTGGGGAAATTGGTGCACACTGGGGATTTTTTTGTAATTCTACACAGTGACCCTGCTGTGCACCTGAAGTGTAAGTGTACCAAAGTTCTTCTGTTGCACATTATGCATATCCCCAATGTGCACCAATTGTGTGTTCACACCAGGATTACTCAGGGTCACATTTGTAAGCAAATAAGTTACACCAAGGTTACAGCGTTGGTGCATTTGTGTGATGCTCCTGTTATTTCACATTTGTGCACCAAGTGTAACCATGGAATGGTAGCAAAATTCCCTCTAGAGGAGTGCACACTTGTAACCCCAGAATATCCCATATGCTCCAGTTGTGACCCTGGTGTGCACCTACGGTGGGGTCACAGCAAAAATAGCTCCCCACTCGGGTTAGGATGTGTGACATGCCTTTGCTATATGCATAGTCTTAATGAGCACAAATATTTGCTAGATTGCACATTGAGTTCATCAATTTTTACTTTATATCATTAAAATTTGAAATTAACAGATTAATACTGACTTATTTGTGCATTATCACTTTTTTACACATACTGTATTTAAAATGGTCTTTGATTATTGACTTTGTTCCTTTTTTACTTTTTACATAATAAGTTAAAATTTACTTTGATCTTTGACATTTGTTTGTTCTTACTTTTCCAATAAAAGTTACCATTGATTTAGATCATTGACTTATTTCTTTGTTTTTACCTTTTACAGGTGAACTTTGATAAGTCAAACCCCCCCCCCCAAGTCCAATTTTTGTTTCAAGTCCATGTCATCTGATCCTATCAGAATCAATGCATTAAAAACCTCCCTAATTCAAAGTCTTTTTCTCTAAAATCTCTGTAAGTCAAATTTTCTTAGGCCTTCTGGTTATTAATTCCTTGAAATATGAAAGATAATATCATGAAAACAAATCACTTGATGCATCTTGAAAGGAAGTGAAAGAGTATTGGAGCAAATGAACCCCTGCCTCCAAGTTCAGCAAGAGGTGCTGTAAACTCATTAAGGAGCACTTTTAGGCCCAGAGTATGCTCATTTATGAATTCCAATGCTTTTTTTTCTCCTCACAACAAAATTGTTTGTTTTATTCTCAACTGGAAACCCCCAAAAATCAAAACCTCTGAGTCAAAACCACCCTAAATTGTATTTCTTCACTGGTCATGAGAAATTTGACTTACAGATGTTCAACTGTACAAGAAATAAAAATTGACTTGGAATACTGACTTATTTGCTCATTTTTATTTGTTATAAAAAGGAATCAAGCATTTTTATTGTGGGAGACATTGAAGAATTGCACTAAATTGTACCTGGTGATATTATGGGCCTTGAGTTGCTTCTAAAATGAGTTGAAAGGGGACTCAACTTGGAGGCATGGGTTCATTTGCCCAATTTATCTTATCATATTCTGTCAAAGCATATACAATTCAATTTTTTCTGTTTCAATAAAATAGTAAACTAAAGGCTTCAAAAATTTGACTTATGGAGGTTTTAGCAGAAAAGCCTTTGACTAAGGGAGTTTTTTAATGCATTGTTTCTAAGGGAATACAGACAGGGACTAAACAAAAGTTGACTTATAGGGAGGTATTCAACTTAGGGGGGTTCAATGTAACAAGGTTCAAGTCATCAAGTTATTTGAATATGGGAATTACTGAATGAACAGAACGCTTTATTTTCTGCTTTTCAGCGTTCACAAGGTTCAATCAATAAGATTTCCACATCCAAACCCCTTCCCCACCCAACCAGGAATATGGGACAATTCCATAGTGTGCATACTCACTTCAGGGTAGTATCTATCAGAGTACTGCAATGTACCTCCATCCTCCTCCTCATTGATGGGCTTGTACAAGTAATCATTGACAAAGTGGTACTTGGAAGACATCTTGCAGATGTTCTCATCGCCCTCGGGCATGCAGATGAGGTGAACCTGGTGGAACCGCGCCTTCTCGGGGCAGACCCAGGAACTACGCGCCCCCTCTTGACAATAGTGGAAGACCTCGCACTTGAGTTCCTCATCTGCATAGTAGCCATTCTTTTTGCCAGCACATTGGAACCTGGTGCTCTGCAGTAAAATGGCCTGGCGATCTGGCTTGTTTTCATCTTCCTTTTCTGATGAAGCAGCATTTCCTGCTGATGCCTCTTCCTGTTCATCTATGAATTCCTGATAATGCAAATAAGATTGTCAGAATTACTATTTTTTCCCCAGCTGTGTCTCTGAATGTAAAATCAGCCTTCAATTTAGTGCCAGCACCCACACTTTGTCCCACAAATTTACCCTGAACAAATAAGTAAAGTTACAGTGAAACCCCCACTTGCAGACACCTCAACCTGTGGACAATTTGACAGGGAAAAAAATTGATAACTATAAGGTCTGACATGAGGAAACTGACTTTACATGGGGATATTTTGTGATAAAATTGCAAATACATTTCAGGCCAAATTACAAGAAACAGATATTTCCAAACCTAAAATTGATGCAAGATAAGTTCTTGGGCATTTCTCTCACCAAATTACCATCCATTTAGCTGATTAAAAAAAATTACCTCCAGCATAGTGGAACTTCTACTTTTTTTCACGTGAAGGTTATTTTTTAAGATGGCCAAATTTCATTGCACAGTACAGAGATACACTATTAAATGCTCCTAATGTTCTTATTGAGTTGAAAATATATTCACTAATTCAAATTCAAGTGGCAAACAATTTTTTTCAGGGAATTCTGAAGAATATTTCTTCCATAAAACACCAACTAAATATTATATAATGCAAGTCTAAGGGAAAATTAGACTCAACTTAGGGACATTTTGACTTAGGGACACTCTCAATGCACCAACTATGTCCGCATCTTGGGGTCTCACTGTATATGCATTTCCTTTATACAGATACAGTACAGTATAATATATTTAGATGCATTCATGTTTTTTGTATTATTTTGACCAATTACAGGGCCTTTATTATTGGAAACATTGTGGCATCCTGAAGCAATGCAGCTCCAGCATCCAGTTGCAACTGGACCCAAAAACTTGTTGGATCTTGAGGTCAGTGAGCCTCACAAAAATCCTGTTTTTGCTAGACTCACTGAGCCTCACTCAAGGACAAGAAGTGGTCATCACTTCCTTGATTTAAAAAAAATCAGCCAATCCTAAGCCAGGAAGAAATCAACTGATTTCTTCCTGACCCAGTCCAAGCACCTGGCTATAAAAGCCTTCATTCCTCTTTGAGAGGAGAAGACAGAACCTAGTGTTAAAGGGCCTTTTAACTTTAATTACCTCATTCATTTTTCTGAGCTAACCAATCAATCTTACAATTGACTCTGCCATTACAACCATTGAATTAACAGCCAATTGATGATCCAGGCAATGAGAATGAACTCCACTGAAAAGAGTTTGAGTTCTTATTCAAAACTTTGTTATCTCTGTACCTTCCCTCTGATCAATTTAACCTGACCTAACCTAACTTCACCTAACTGCCTCCCAAAATCAGTTTCTGCTTTCTTTGGGTTTCTGCTGAAACTGATTTTGGGAGGCGTTTAGGTAAAGGTAGGTTAGGTCAGGTTATGTTAATCAAAAGATATTTGTAACTAGCATAACCTGACCTAACCCAACTTTACCTAACCACCTCCCAAAATCAGTTTCAGCAGAATGCAGAAAAATAAAATTCACAGTTTCTGGTAGGTTGTGTGATTGTGAACTTGTCTTGAAGATTTGTCTGGATGGTAGTGTGGTCTAGGAATGAGGTACTGAGATAACAAGAAAGTACCTACAAAATTTTGATTGATTTGTGTATATTACATTTTGAAATTTGAAATTTCATTGCAGCATGTACCGCATATGCTCGTGACGTGAAATTTATTTTTTTAATTTTTAAAACAAGCGACTCACTTCCTGACGGGGCGGCGGTGGTCGGTTGACTCTCTTGTTAGCTGGTCGGTTCTGCCTCTGAGGTGGCGCCTCAATGGGGTCCTCATCGAACTCAAACACCGGCAGTTGATCATTAGGCCTGCTGAACTTGTTTCTGGCCGGCGCCTGTGACCGCCTAAATTCATTATTGTTGTTCTGCTGCTGCTGCCTAGTCTCAGTTACTGCTGGTGGCGGCGATGGCGGCGATTCTAGTGCCTCTTCGTCGTAATAGTTGCTGTCTTCTTGTTCGGGCTCGTCTTCAAAGACTGGCGGCTGTGGCGGCTTATTGTTAATCGCGGGTCCGTATTCGTCTTCCTCGGGTTCATCCTGCTGGTACTTGGGTTTGTTGTCCTCGAATTGGGGTCGGAGTTGAGGTCGGTTATTATTGGGCTTATTGGCTTTGTTGTTGTTGTTGTTTTTGTTTCCACCGCCTGCACGTTTCAGCATTGGTGGGAATTGCAAATTTGTTCCTTCAGCAACCTATATATATGTGTGTGATGAAGAAAAGCAAAAAGGATTTTGTTCATGTTGAGGAGAAAAGTTCCCAACATTTGCATCCAATTTCTGTTCTTGTTTTCAGAATTTCTGCAAAACTTTTTTTCTTCAATTTATCAGAAAGAATGACTTGACATTGAAAAATTATAAGACAGTTTTACCTTGATAACATGAACCTCCTCAAGTCAAAACATCCCAATGTTGAATTTTTTGTTTTTCTTTCCCACTTACTGTCTGAATCCTCTCAAGAGCAATGTACTGTATTATACAGACCTATAGTTTACCCCTGCACAAAAAACCTCCCACACAACATGTTTTTACACAACAAACCAAACTTGGAGGCAGTTTTCCCTCCCTCACAACAGATTAAATGCCAATAACCGGCTTCTGTTGGTTTAAAATTAATGTTAAAAAGTAAAAAATTTTACTTTTTAATCATTGAATTTGCAAAAAACTTAATTTTCACACAACAGAATAGTCTGTCACACAAATCAAGTCTGTTGTGCAGGGATTGACAGCAGACAGTCATTGTTCCCATCATTGATTTTTTTTTTCAACTTCATGTTTTGAGCATTTTACTCCTGCACGGACTGCCTTATCTTTTGAGCAATACTTGATGTTATCAATGCAATATTTTATGTTTTTTTTACAAGAAAAAGTTTTTATTTGAATTCATTTTAGTGATTTTTCACATTCAGCATAGAGAGGTCTCGAGCAGCAAACATCATTCAGATACCTATTAACATAAATTCCATCAAACAATTTGGTTTGTTTGTTGGGTTTCTGCCCCAGCTTTTTTGAAAGTGAGAACTGAGAATCCAGCTTGCTAAAATTTTTGAGGGTTAAATTTTAAAATTTGTCTGAAGGAAAAAAATGTGAATTTTGACATTTCACCTTACAATCATTGCAGGTAACAAAAGATTATCCTGGTAAAACTCTCTTTGTTATAGCCATCAAGCCTACTTTTTTACTCTCGTTTTTTAACCCATTCTTTCAAACATGTAACATTTGTGTATCTGCTCTTTTGAGCGCCTGCTCTTTTGTGCACCCGCTCTTTTGTGCACCCGCTCTTTTGTGCACCCGTTCTTTTGTGCACCCGCTCTTTTGTGCACCCGTTCTTTTGTGCACCCGCTTTTTTGTGATCCGCTCCTTTGAACACCCGCTCTTTTGTGCACCTGCTCTTCTGAGCACACACAATTATGTGACATTTTGTGCTTGCATTTTTCAGCACTATATATATAGCTTCTTTGTCACGTGTTGCTGTTTTTGGGTCTTTGCTCTTCCATCATGCACCTTCTCTCTCTCTCTCTCTCTCTCTCTCTCTTTTTCACAATCTCTCTGTCTTTCTATATCTCTCTCACCTTGGGTCTTTCCAGGTTGATGTTCTGTCTTTGCTGAGGTCGGAAAGGTCCGGAATCGTCGTCGAACAAAGGCTGCTGCTGTGGCGGTTGGAAATTCTGGCGGAACGGACCCGGGCGTTGTTGGTTGCCTGGCCGATTGTTGTTGGCGTTGAAGCGGCGCTGCGGACCGCCGCCGCCGCCGAAGTTGAGCGGCTGCTGCTGGCGTTTGGGGCGGAACTCGTCCGAGAAATCCGCATACGGATGCCCGCACTGGGCCACGGCGACCAGCACACACAAAATAATGACGGGCACCGGGGTCAGCGTCATTCTCCTCGCTTTGGCCCTCTAATATATGGATGACCTGATTCTTATTTTTTCCTCCTGTGTCAATCCCTTTTCTTTTCTTTTCCCCTCGCGAGGATGCTTTTTTTTTCGTCAAACGAATTTAATCCTGCATTCGAGAAAATGAAGAACAAAATGAAAAGGATTTTATTCAGCAATTGTATTGTTTACTGTGATGAGGTGGAGTTACAAGATTGCCAGAGTACATCAAATAAGCATTCAAATAT